TATTAGATAACAAGTTCTATCACAGCTGTTTAGAAAAAAAAGTGGTTCGGAGACGATCAACTAGTTCCAGAGATCAAAGCAATCGCAGAAGGTTCATTTAAAAAAAAGGGATATGAAGCGGGTATTCGCGGCAAGGGTTATATTGTTATGGCATTAGAAGCAGCATTATGGGCATTCTGGGATTCCAGTTCGTTCGAAGATGGTGCGATAAAAGCTGTCAATCTAGGCGATGATACGGACACAACAGCGGCAATATATGGACAACTGGCTGGAGCTGTTTATGGTGTTGAACGCTTACCAGAACGCTGGGTTGACCAACTTTATGCTCGAAACTATATAGAATGGCTGGCAAAATGGCTGAATTACAGGGGAAATGAATGGTACTGTAAGAATCATAAAACATAATTATTTAGTTGACTAGGTATTTTTATTACTTTGATCGCATAAAATACAAATAATTCAAAGGATCTGTGTACGAAATCTTGTAGTGTGACAATGTGTTAACTTTCTGTTTAAGCAAGACAATGATGTCTTGCATACAAATGTATTTTTCTCGGGCATGATGTGAACTTCATTAGCCATTCCATTAATTAATATGTGATAAGCTTTCACAATTCGACTTCTAAAATGGGATACAGCTTTAACATTAAGATTAAGTTGATAAACAACGTGATGCTTATAAGAAGACTTCTAATAGAGTTAAGAATATGAGAAGTTTTGCGTTTATTTTAATGAAAGTAGGTCTTAGCAGCACAGGACTTAATATATTTTTGTTGATGAGTCACCGGTGGACATAAGAAACGAGGGTCTTCTAAATTGAGATAATAAAGTGACTTACATCATGTTTCTAGATTTTCTCTTTCTAATCGTAAAATTACGATTATGGATAAGGATTGGCTCAATTTATCTGGTCGCTATCCCCATGAAATTCAATATGTTCCACCACCAGAACAAAAGAAAGAAGACAATATTCCACTAGATAAAATTGTTGGCTCACTTCTAGGTTTAGCTGTTGGTGATGCACTAGGTGCACATGCTGAATTTCGTCCGCATAATTTTCTGCAAGAGAATCCTGTAAAAGACCTTGTCGGTGGAGGGACATGGGGATTGAAAGGTGGTCAATGGACAGATGATACATCAATGGCATTATGTTTATCGGTGAGTCTCATTGTTAATGAAGACTTTTACGCATATGATCAATTAGTTCGTTATAAGTGGTGGTGGAAACATGGTTATATGTCATCAACAGGGAAATGTTTTGACATTGGCAGTGCAACCAGACGAGCTCTGGAGGAGTTTACTCAAAGACAAGTGCAACTGGCTCAACAATTAAATGTGCAAGCAGACGTGATTCTTGATAACTTACCGAAGCACCGAGTAGAATCAAAAAAGTTCAATGCAGATTGTAGTAGCTCCGATGGGGCAGGTAATGGTGCATTGATGCGACTCGCACCTATTCCATTATTCTTCTGTCGATCTGAGCTGGCAGCAACAGTGCACGCGGGTAAGAGTGCTCGTCTCACTCACGGCGACAGAAAAGCAGTTGATGTTTGCAGGTTTTACTCATTGTTAATATGTTGCGCAATAAAAGGTTATTCAAGGACAGAGTTGTTGGATGACAATCTCTACCAGAGAGCGTGGAACGCTGGATGGTTTGGCAAGGAATCATTGCACGAAGAAGTTATTCGGGTCGCTCAGGGTTCCTACAAGAAGAAGGGTGGTTACCAAGATGGTATCAGAGGGAAAGGATACATTGTACAGTCTTTGGAAGCAGCGTTATGGGCATTTTGGAGTGATGATGGTTTGTTTAGAAAAGGAATATTATTAGCAGTTAATTTAGGCGATGACACTGACACGACAGCAGCAATTTACGGACAGCTAGCCGGCGCTTGTTATGGTGTTGGACAAATACCACAAGAATGGAAAGATGCACTTTACGCAAAAGATTTCATTATATGTCTTGCACAGTGGTTAAAATATCTAGGACATGAATGGATGCTAAATTCAATAAGGATGAAAAAAGCAAGTTCTACAGGATAGCGAAATAACTAAAACTATACGATAACAATCACTAAAAGTCGCTGCAAATAACTTTAAAAGCTCATGATCAAACGTCAAACTATGTAGAATACTATTTTACTCAACAGCATGAGCTGACACGTACAAGATTACAAATGAATCAATGAAAAAGTAGGTATAGCGTTTCTACAGAAACAACCCCATAGAAAAATATTTCCCTCTATACTTTTTACCTCATCAGCTGTCGTACGCCTTATATATATTCTGATGGTGTTGAATTTATCCATACAATATCTGTTTCTTTTTGCACAGAATCATATATTTTCATGTTTTGATAGTTTAAGTTTCAGAATGATATAATGGGACTTTATATTCCCGATTAGAGATGTGCACGGGTACCAGTTCAACCCGATCCGACAAGTTTTGTATCCGTATCCGACTTATGCCTAAAAATTTTCTCCTTTTTGTTTTCCAGCTAAAAACTTTTGTTTTTCGGCTGAAAATGTCAAATTATGATTACGTTCTCGAGTAATTCTTTTTAAATCTTCATGTATTTTAGCTAAACTCCTGTATTTTTCCACTAAAATTTTGTGGATTTTCCACTAGAACCTTCCGGTTTTCGGGTAAATTAAAAAAAAATAAAACCCGTACCCGATAACTTCGTATCCGTACCCAACCTTCGAGCCGGATCGGGTTGCACATCTCTATTCCCGATTTCGTTCTGGTTCAAGATTAAGGCTTCAACCAACCAAACGTTTGAACATATGACTTCTGAAGAGACGATAATAAACTTTAGATCCAAGGAAGATGATTAAATTCAACTCAAAAGTTCTGTATTGCACTGCTAATTAAAAAGTGAAAGAGTCTGTTAGCGAAAGAAAAGGTGAATCGCATCGTGCTATTCTGGTCCCACCCATCCAGTTTTTCTCAATTATCTGCACCTAGTACTGCATTGAGTAAATTCTATCTGTATTGCCCAATGCTAGTTTACATTTTTCGTGCTTGGATTCTGGCGTTGGTGTGCATCATTGCTGATAAAGTAAAAAATTCCTTTTTATCAGCACTTTTTCAATAGCGGTGCGCACTCCTTCGCACTAGTGCCGGTAAAAATTTTTGTAGGATATCGAGCGTACTTGATTAGTGAGTATGGGCTTTCAAAATCGCTCACTTGCCCTAATCTTTTTGTTAGTACTTCTTCAAGATGTAATCGTTGGTTTTATTACTACGAAGTATTTTGTGCAAACACTGGAGGTTTTACCTAACAAGTACTTAAAAGTACGTTTACGGGCTTTATTATGCAAGCTAATTGCTTATCCGAAATACTGGGACCCCATTATCTTGACTAAGAATTTTATCATATGTATTTGAATGTTTCAGAATGTTGGCACTTTTTTTTAAAATTCTCGCTTCTTCTAGTTTCTTATTTCTTTCTACAATTGTTGGTTTACGAAATTAGATAACATAATGGTTGTTTTTGATCTTATGACTAGCAGCTGCTATTCACTGATCTATTTTCGTGTTTCTCTATTTTTGTTTTAACATTTTATTTTCTTTGTCCTACGTAAATTTTTGAGCCTTTTATGATGATAATTCGTGAATGACATCAAAATCAAGATCATCATTACTTTTAAAAATACGTAAAGTTAGTAAATAGTTCTAACACTTAATCCTTTCTTGAACACAAAAACAATATATGCGGGTGACACAACAATATAACAATATATTGGTTGAATTATTTTCTTATTTTTTTATTGTTTCTCTACCATAATAGACTATTGAACTAAAAAATATTTTCTTGTTCAATTTTCTCGCTGATATTATTGTTATTTATGATATTGTTAATTTTTCTTTCCACTACGTTAGTAGGACATTTATTTTGTATCAATGACTTTTCAGTATGATCACATTGTTCCCAAAATTATTGTTGAGCGGAGCAAATGCTAAAGCTGCTGATAATTAATTTTCTGATCAGCACAAATTTACACTTTTTAGCAGGGCCGTTTCTTCAACAGCTGAGAATGGCAATTCATATTGTTGTTCATATCATATGTAAATTTAATTCGTGAATGTAACAGACTGATATACTGAAGTAATTTCTCAACATAATTTTGTGAATGATAATGAATATATCGTTTACGTATCTAGCCGTAATATTACGCTAATCATGCAGTAATTCTTATTGTTTACAATTTAAAATTACTTAAACATCGTGTGATCATAATAAAACAAAAGTTCTATAATTTAGATCTTTCTGTGTTTTTTCATCATTTGATGAGAATGAGCTATTTTCGGTTTAGTAGATGGATTACCTATTTAATGTTGTGTAATTAACCTGAAAAGTATCTAACGCTGATAATAGTTCTTCAAACAATGTTGTTCAAAGTATTTCGACGAGTATGTTTTTGCCATTCAGTATTTAATTATCTTCTGGTTCAAAAAATGTTATCCCTGCCACTAAATACTCTCATACTGATGTTTCTACACGTCAATGACTATAACTATTCAATTGACGATGCTTTTGTTCAAGCTGATTATTAAACAATATTTAGAAAATATCTTGATCATCTACATCTTCACGAATCGAAAAATAAAATGTAAAACTTTCGATTTTTACCAAGATTATCATACGTATGTGTGTACTTGACACAGATACATGTATTTTGTATACACGTTGTCGTTCTTAACTTTTTTCTCCTTGTAAACAGTGTAAAGTAAGGAAAGTCCAAAATACTGCTGACTGTGTGCACTGTTTTTATG